TGATGGGTTCTGTTGTCCGCCCAAATGATGAAATGATAGTGGATTGCCCAATCATTCTGTTGCTTGTGCTGCTGAAGAATCTGCCATTGGAGAGGAAGCTGTCTCTTTCAATGATTATGTTTCTTGGGTCAGTTGTGAAGGAGTGCGAAATCGCACGAAAGCACACTGGTCCGTTAGGACGACAAGCATCGCACGATATGAAAGGCAGAGCGAAATGAAAACCAATCCGAGCGCTTTCGTGGGTGTCTAATAAATTATAGACTTAAAAATTAAAATCAAAGGAGCGAAGCAATGAGTTCTAAAAAACGTCCTTACCATTTAGTTTTTGATCATTCCTCGATTTATCCGTGTTCGCCTGGCTCAGGGACAGTGCTGATCTTCTCTGTATCGTTCCAATATTAACGGATGTGGAAGGATATCCTCATCATTTAGTTGATCCGAGTCCGTGGCCTATTTTTGGTTTGCTTGGACAATTGGATGATGGGTTGGCCATTCATGTGATAATATGACTCTGTGTGTGTGTGTGTGTGTGTGTGTGTGTGTGTGTGTGTGTGTGTGTGTGCGTGTGTGTGTGTGTGTGTGTATGTGTGTGTGTGTGTGTGTTGTTGTAGCTCCCCAAATTCTCTCTCTCATTACCTCCACAAAGCATAACAAACCATCCATCAATAACACAAAAGTAGCACATGCGGTTAACCAGGGGTGTTATTTTCGACGAATTTTGTACCGAATTGCACTGAAACTGTCATATTGTGCTGAATTTTTTCATTTTTTCTTGTTTTTTTTTTTTGTGTGTGATATATATGTGCTTTAGGGTACGTCATGCGTGCAGTTTTGACATGTTTGGATCAATAATGCAAAAGTTGGCATTTTGTTGAATTCGTTGGACGCTTCATTTTGACTTGGACAGTGTCTTTGTGTTAGGGTTTCGTAGTGTTTTTTTGTTTTTTTTTTTGTTCTTTTTGGCCTGTTTCCTTTTTTGATGTTTGCACTATGGTCTCATATCGTTTGTTTTTAAAAGTTTTGATGAAATTCGCACGGTAATTGCCAACGAAAACGGCGAATATTTGGGCCCCCATTAACCGTCTCTCGCAGTTCGGGCAATGTATACAACCCAGCTTTCCGGCCAGGTAGGGTGCCCGAAGTGCAAGCGCCAAGTACCGACACATCTTGTCTGCCGCCGAAGCGGCACACTTGCATGTATGCATATGTACATGGTAGTTTTGGCGCGTACCACTGACACCTACTGTAGGCGGATGGTGTGCTTACCAGTCAGGCCGACCCGTAGGCGGACCTGTCGGCGGTCGGCAGACTGCCTTGCATTTTTTTTTTGGGTGTGTGATTACATGGTCGTGTGCGGCTCAAGGAGAGCAGCCCAAATCTGCAATATTTTTTTTGGGGGTGGTGGGGGTTATAGGGGGAGGTAT